CACTGAATAAAACATTGCAGCTTTTAATAAATATTTAGGATACATTTAACAGAAACACGCGTCACACGATGAACCCACCCTCTCCTATGAACGGAGAGAGGTGCTCACTAAACATTGCATCGAATGCACTGTTAAAAAGTAACCACGATTCAAAAAGAAAATGAACAATAACAATTTTGTTACAGTTTTTCTGTTACATGACTTCTTTTTGTTATTTTTTACAGCATAGAAGCAGATGGAAAGAGATTCAGTGGAGACACGAGGAATGAACGAGCTGCATGAACTCGACAGATGCCGGTACAATAACTGGATTAGAAAAGTACAACATTTTCGATTTTTACAGAGTTCACTTCTTTTTGAATGATGACATCATAGTAGTGGCGTTCTTGTGATTCAATTTTGTAACAACCAGGAATATTTCGAACTTCTTGACAGAAGAGGCAGCTACTCACTCCTATTCGCCGAAAAGTTCATGAAATTTTATGATAAGTTTTGTTTTTATTCTTCTTCTTCTTCTTCCTCATCCTCTTCCTCCTCTTCTTCCTCTTCTTCTTCCTCTTCTTGTGGTGGTGGTGGAGTTGCTTGCCTTGGTGGTGATGGTTCAGGCTCTTCCTCGTCCATTAAACCAGGTGGCGCAATGTCGAGGAGGTCATCATCGTCATCGTATGTCCTCTGTTCGATGACCTCTTTGACCTTGGGGGCAGTTGGGTCCCACTTGGGCAAGTTCTTGTGACCGATCTCTTTGAAGGAGTTCATACGCAATTCCCAAGATTTCTCCAATTGTTCTTTTATCACCTTATCCATTCCACCATCGAACAGAGATTTCTTGTCACCGTACGTCCTCCTGTCAACACGTCTCTCAAACTTGCTAGCAACATGAATTTTTGGCGGGTATTTTCCTTCACATTCAGCTGGGTCAATGCCTTTTTTGAGAGCCTTCTGTCTGTTGATTTGTTTTTGCCTTTCAGTCAGTTCCCTCAAATCGTAGTCTTGCCTCTTCATCTTCTCTTCCAAATCGTATTTGTCGGACTCCAACTGTACAATCTTGGTCCAGAGCTCTTCGGCGCAAGCTTTCAATTTTGCGTCTCCGAGGCCTTCAATCTTCAAGGCCTTGGTGCGGTAGGAGAGGGCGATCTCTTTGTCTTCGGCCAGTTGTTCCTTGGACTTGCTCATCTCCAACCTGGCTTGTTCCACAGTGCCCAACTTGTCGAAACCACCTGGGTTCTGGACAGCAGCGGGGATAGCACCTTCTTTCTTAGCGATGACGAAGTTGGGTTTGCCTTCCTTTGCCTTCTTCTGCTCTTCAAGCATGGCTTGCCTCTTCTTCTCAGCCTCTAGAAGGCGCTGGCGCTTCGCCTCCGCCTCTTTCTGCTTTTTATCTTCTATTTCTTTTAATCTCGCTTCTTCCTGTTTCTTCTTCATTGCAATCATTCTCTTCTCCTGCTCGGCTCTGGTTACTTTCCTTTTTGCCTGTCGTGCTTTGAGCTTTTCCAGTTCCTCTTCTTCCTTTGCCCTCTGTTTCCTCCATTGTTCGATATATTCGGCCCACATGGCTTCATCTTCTTCCTTCTTCTTCTTCAACTTCTCCTCCATGGCGATCTCGGCTTCAGTCATGGCTGCTTGAGGTTCTTCTTTGGTTGATTTTTGTCCACTGGATGTCTTCTTCTTTCCTACGTCTTCGTCCTCCTCCTCGGACTCACTTGTTCAGATAGATATGAGTAACAGGCGATTGTCCCCAAAGCAATGCTTCGGAAAGACAAAAAGAGTCGAGAAAGGTCGCTTCAAAAAACTCGGACTTCTTGGTGAATTGTCTCTCAGCTGTATTCCCGATCGCTATCAGCCATGTGGGTTGTTTATTAGAAATTTGTATCACGATGCCTCCTTGCTGTAGTACACCAAATAATCCACGTTCTTTAAGCCCAAATATCTTACCTTAGCCGCCGTCCAGATCCAAGATCGGAAGA